TGATGACATGCACTCGTCCTGACCTTGCGTTCCCTCTTGGCCTTCTGACTCACTACGTGGCTCTTGGTCGGCACCGAAAGGTGCACATGGATGCTGCTAAGAGGGTTCTAAGCTACTTGTGCAGTACATCAGGCATGAGGCTCGTGCTTGGAGGACGGAGCGACGTTGTCCTCACTGGGCACTCAGACGCTTCTTGGGTTGACAACCCAGGCTATGCAGCGGTCGTCACAGGGGTTACACCTTCAGCCTTGGCTCTGGTTCAGTTTCTTGGCGTTCTACACGCTTGTCTTCAATTCTTAGCTCCAATTGTGAGGCTGAGATCTACGCCACAGCCATGGCTGCACAGGAGTTACGCTGGCATACCTACCTGCTGACTGACTTGGGAGAGCGGCCCTCGTTCTCCTCCAGTGCTGTACGTAGACAACAAGGCTGCCATTGCCTTGTGTCGGGAGCACAGACTGGAGCACAGAACGAAGCACATCACTCTGCGTTACTTCCTTGCTCGAGAGTTGCAGCAGCGTGGTCAGCTTCGTCTTGCTCACGTGGCCACTCAGGCCAACACTGCTGATATATTCACCAAGGCACTTCCGCTTGGTGATCATAAGCGCTTTTGTACTTTGTTGGGCCTTGTGCCTACGTTTCCTCACTCTCTGTAGGCTCTGCCTAAACTGTGATCTATATATATACACTTGCATGCTTGATTCTGGTAGGTAGAGATCACTATGCTGTTGTTGTTGCATATATACCTCTGCATGTGAACTGGCCTTGTGGCCCTTTGCTTGTGCTGAGTGTGTGTGGTGACGTTGTGATCCACCCTGAGCTTGCTTTGCTTCTCTTGACTGGTCTTGTGACCTCTTGCTCTCCCCCACTTTGCCTATGGGGGTGTGGTCAAATTGTATGCATGTCATATATGTATAGGCTGTAGTGGGGTAGCCAATATGGGGTACAACCCCATTAGGGTTTCATATTTGTACCAAACCCTGATCCAGTCAATTCATTCTTGCTACTAGATTCTAACATTATATACAGGCTAGCCTCATTATACGACACCTATTTGTGTGTACGAGATAAGACATATGTGTATTATAATCGAAACTGCAATATATTATAGTGAAAATTGAAATACCGCGTACATTTTTAACCTTGCGACACGCGAACTCGGCCACGTGCTGACTCATATACTACCAAATTTGCCTCTGCAAGTATTCACCATGACGTGGCGTCCCGAACAATGGTTGCCGATGTGGTCAGCAGGGGGACAGCCAGGTCCGCCATGTGGCATCTTTTCTAGATATGTGAAAATATTTCTAAGTAGTTTAAAAAAGTTTCCATTTATAAGACTTTTAAGACACCCAAAACCTTCCCAAATACAAGATTACCCAAGCATTTTTTTTAGTGTATGAGATAAGACATATATGTCTTATATCCGGGGCGATGACGGTAGGTTGGCCGTGGAATTCACTCATCCTCTCGGACCTACCGTACCTATGTTCCCGCCCTCCTCACTCCCTTGCAGTGCTTTCTATTCCAATTGACGGCAAACGAAGCCTTCAGTTCGCTTGTTTCAGCATCCTGACATTCTTTAGGTTCGTGATGCTGAGCTTCAGCAACAAATTTGCCCACTCCATATCACACATTCCGAGACTCTCGCCAGCTTCCAAGCCTACCCCGTTTTCCGCCTTCCAATTTTGCTTGGCAAAAACAGGGATTCCCTTTGGCATCGGTACGCAGAATGGGATGGCGTTCACAGCAAGTTACCCCAAGCGAAGTTCCCCCAAGAGGCCCAAAAAGTGCAGATATTTGGGTCCAGCGTGCAGTTTTGCAACTGACCACACCCACTCCACGTGGCATGAGAATGTGGATACACACATAGACGAGTTTCAGCGAATGATCAAACCCAATCAGGGGCATGTAACCCCGTCAACCTTAAGATCGTTCATGACAAACTTTCGTGAAGCAACCCCAAACATGTGCTTCACAAATATATGTGCACTGTTGTTTGAGCACGGTTCGACTTGGGGGAACTTGCTGTGAACGCCATCTGAGTGGATCTCTAAGGCAGCTCAGGGTGGCTGTAAACTCTTTTTGTTATGGTAGTAACCGGAAGTACGGTATCTGTGGCCAGAACCCGAGGCACCGGAGTGCCATAATTTCTAGGTTGGTGTTTAGGTTCCAATGGGTGTTTGATTTCCACTGTAATAATTAACTTTACAACATCGGAGTGTCTACCTCCTAGGGTTATACGGTACAACACAGCTCGACTATGGAAAAGGGTGAACTACCAGCTATATCACTTCTTTCCTCCCTTGCCACCTTTCCCCCCTTTTCCACCCTTGCCGCCCTTTCCTCCCTTCCCCCCCTTCGCACCCTTCACACTCTGAATAGTAGCGAAGTTGGAACCGACAGAACCCCCCTGATCCTCGACAGCTCCCCCTTGCTGTCCGCCCCGTTCCCCCTGCTATCCGCCCTGCTGTCCGCCCTGCTGCCCACCCTGCTGCCCGCCCTGCTGCCCGCCCTGCTGCCCGCCGGGTCCGCCCTGCTGTCCGCCATGTCCGCCCTGCTGTCCCCCATGCTGGCCGCCTTGCTGTCCGCCCTGCTGTCCGCCGTGCTACCCGCCCTGTTGCCCGCCGGGTCCGCCCTGCTGTCCGCCAGGTCCGCCCTGTTGCCCGCCGGGTCCGCCCTGCTGTCCCCCCTGCTGGCCGCCCTGCTGCCCGCCCTGTTGCCCACCAGGTCCGCCCTGCTGTCCGCCCTGCTGTCCGCCATGTCCGCCCTGCTGTCCCCCCTGCTGGCCGCCCTGCTGTCCACCCTGCTCCCCGCCGGGTCCGCCCTGCTGTCCGCCAGGTCCGCCCTGCTGTCCGCTGCGTCCACCCTGCTGTCCCCCCTGCTGGCCGCCCTGCTGTCCGCCCTGCTGTCCGCCGGGTCCGCCCTGCTGTCCGCCCTGCTGTGCGCCAGGTCCGCCCTGCTGTCCGCCAGGTCCGCCCTGCTGTCCCCCCTGCTGGCTGCCCTGCTGTCCACCCTGCTCCCCCCCAGGTCCGCCCTGCTGTCCGCCAGGTCCGCCTTGCTGTCCGCCAGGTCCGCCATGCTGTCTGCCAGGTCCGCCCTGCTGTCCGCCAGGTCCGCCCTGCTGTCCCCCCTGCTGGCCGCCCTGCTGTCCGCCCTGCTGTCCGCCCTGCGGCTGTCCGCCGGATCCGCCCTGCTGTCCGCCCTGTGGCTGTCCGCCGGGTCCGCCCTGCTGTCCGCCATGTCCGCCCTGCTGTCCGCCAGGTCCGCCCTGCTCCCCGCCGGGTCCGCCCTGCTGTCCGTCGGGTCCGCCCTGCTGTCCGCCCTGCTGTCCGCCGGGTCCGCCCTGCTGTCCGCCGGGTCCGCCCTGCTGCCCGCCGGGTCCGCCCTGCTGCCCGCCGGGTCCGCCCTGCTGCCCGCCGGGTCCGCCCTGCTGTCCGCAGGGTCCGCCCTGCTGTCCGCCGGGTCCGCCCTGCTGTCCGCCGGGTCCACCCTGCTGTCCGCCGGGTCCGCCCTGCTGTCCGCCGGATCCGCCCTGCTGTCCGCCGGGTCCGCCCTGCAGTCCGCCGGGTCCGCCCTGCTGTCCTCCGGGTCCGCCTTGCTGTCCACCGGGTCCGCCGCCCACATCTCCGCCACTGCCGCCGCCCAGGTCTCCGCCGCTGCCTCCGCCCAGATCTCCGCCGCTGTCGTTGCCCAAATCTTCGCCGCTGCCGCCGCCCAAATCACAGCCGCTGCCGCCGCCCAAATCTCCGCCGCTTCTGCCGCCCAAATCTCCGCCGCTTCCGCCGCCCAAATCTTCTCCACTTCCGCCACCCAAATCTCCTCCGCTGCCGCCGTCCAAATCTCCGCCGCTGCCGCCGCCCAAATCTCCGCCGCTGCCGCCGCCCAAATCTCCGCCGCTGCCGCCGCCTAAATCTCCGCCGCTGCCGCCGCCCAAATCTCCGCCACTGCCGTGTCAAACTTATATGCTATAGTCTGTGTAGGCTGTAGTGGGGTAGACTATATGGGGTACAACATTTCTAGGTTTTCCTACTTGTACCCACCTGCTTGCTAGTTCATGCATTCCTCATTCTTCACATGGTATAGAGCAGGTTCCCTCGTGGGAACGCTTCTCAGGGCCCACCACCTAACTCGATCTTTTTTTTTTTTCCTGCCCGAAGCGTGCCCCGTAGGCCGCCCTCACGTCGCGCCCTCCTAGAGGCCCCTTGCGCCACCCTTAGCGGCCCCGTCGCCGTCCTTAGCGACCCCGTTGCCGCCCCTCTAGGCCCCTCGCGGCCCCTTCACGGCCCCGTCGTCGACGCTCTAGGCCCCGTCGCCGCCGCTCTAGGCCCCTCGCGGCCCCTTCACGGCCCCGTCGCCGCCGCTCTAGGCCCCGTCGCCATCCCTACAGGCCCCCTCGCGGCCCCTTCACGGCCCACTCGCCGCCCCTAGCGGCCCCGTCGCCGCCCCTCTAGGCCCCTCGCAGCCCCTTCGCGGCCCCGTCGCCGCCACTTGCAGCCCCGTCGCCGCCCCCTCTAGGCCCCTTACGGCCCCTTCGCAGCCTCGTCGCCGCCCCTCTAGGACCCTTGCGGCCCATCTGCGGCCCCGTCGCCGCCCGTGGAGGCCCCGTCGCCGCCCTTCGCGGCCACCTCGCCGCCCTTAGCGGTCCCGTCGCCGCCCCTAACGGCCCCATCGCCGCCTCTATCGGCCCCGTCGCCGCCTCTACCGGCCCCGTCGCCGCCTCTACCGGCCACTTCACCGCTAAGCAGCCCAGCAGCTGAGCAGCCAAACCACCCAGAAGTAGAGCCGCCCAGCAGCCGAGCCGCCGAGCCGCCGAGCCGCCCAGCAACCGAGCCGCCGAGCCGCCCAGCACCCAAGCCGCCCAACAGCCGAGCCGCCGAGCCGCCCAGCAGCCGAGCCGCCGAGCCGCCCTGCCGTCGAGCCGCTACTGTTCCTACCGGCGCGCCCCGGCCCTACTTACTCGGACTGGTGAGATCACTCCCTGCTAGGCCACTGCAGTCATGGCTACCCCCAGTGTCCTTACCTTTGATGCTGAGGGTCGTGCTGTTGACTTTGAGGTCAGGGTCGATGACCTCCAGCTGTTCGTACAGTGCGATAGGGCAGACAGACTCTCCCTGTTCGATCTCACCTCTGGTGCCTCTCCTGCCCCGCCTGCTACTGCTGACAGCACTGTTCGCTCACAGTGGGCCACACACGATGCTGTTGCCCGCCTTACTATGCGTCGCCACTTACCGACCACTGAGCGTGCGCACTTTAGCCAGTACAAGAGTGCTAAGACCTTGTACGACGCTGTAGTTGCACGCTACTCCTCCCCGGCCACTGCTGCGCTTAGCCGCCTCATGCTGTCGTACCTGTTCCCTGACCTTGTTGCCTTTCCCACAGTCGCTGACCTCATTACGCACCTTCGCACTAGTGACACTCGCTACCGCGCTGTGCTTCCTGCTGAGTTCTGTGCCAAGAACCCCCCCCCCCATGTACATCACCCTCTACTACATAGTCACCCGGCTCCCTGACTCCCTTCGCTTAGTCAGGGACCACTTCCTCTTAGTTTGCCCCACCACACTCACCGTTGACCTCCTCGAGGAGCGCCTCCTAGCAGCAGAGAAGAGCATTGTCGCTGTAGGAGCCTCTCTTGGTGACCCTCGCACCCCTGTCTTTGAGGGGTGTTCCCCCTGCCCCCTCTTGCCTTCTGTTGCTTCTGCTGCTGCGGCCGACCTCGTTGGTTTTGAGTCGGTCGGCGCTGCGTCTGCCCCTAGCGGGAGACGCCGCACCGGCAAGGGCAAGGGGGGCAAGGGCGCTGGAGGGGCTGGCGGGGGCGGTGGGGGTGGTGGTGGAGGCAGTGGAGGGGGTGGGGGTGGTGGTGGGAGTGGTGACGGGGGTGGAGGTGTCGGTGGCAGCAGTGGAGGCGGAGGAGGCGGCGGCGGTGGCGGAGGGAGCGGAGGCGGCGGAGGTGGCGGAGGCGGCGGAGGTGGCGGAGGCGGCGGAGGCAGCGGTGGAGCTGGTCGTGGCTCTGCGCAAAGGAGTGGCTCCGATGGTGGTCCGCGCCAGCAGCAGCAGCGCAGTCGTGAGACCCCGTCCCCCCAGCAGCTTCGTGAGTGGTACGCTGGGCGTCAGCGAGGTGGGGGTACAGGTCCCTGCACCTACGTCCTCCGTACCGGCGACCGCGCAGGTGAGCAGTGCGGGGGGCCGCACTCCACCAAGCGCTGCTTCGGCCGCCTGACGGACGCGTGGCGTCACCAGTTCCATGACGATACTGTGATCCCTCGCTGGGGAGAGCTGTCTAGGGCGGGGGTTGCTATCTTTGATCTTGATTATGATGCTATTCTTGCTGCCATGTATGCTGTGTGTACTAGTGATGAGGGTGACTGTTACCTGTGTGTTTCGCCTGACCCGGGCATTGAGGCTGCTGCTCTAGGTGCTGGTGAGGCTGCTGCTCTAGGTGCTAGTGCGTCTACTGCCCTAGGTGCTGGTGAGTCTGCTCTCTTAGGTACTACGTCGGCTCAGGCCTTACACACCTTCACCCTTGACTCGGGTGCTTCCCGCTCCTTCTTTCGAGACCGCACCACGCTTACGCCGCTTAGTCGGCCGGTTGCAGTCTCCCTGGCGGACCCCTCTGGGGGTCCTGTCCTTGCTAGCTTCTCCACTGTCTTACCGTGCCCGGCAGCCCCCTTTGGCACCGTGTCAGGTGTTTGCTGCAGCGTCCAGGTCTGGTCCTGAGTCTGCGCCCTGCTCGTGTCGTCTCCTGTCCCACCAGACTCTCCTCTGGCACCACCGCCTTGGTCACCCCTCCCTGCCTCGTCTCCGAGGCATGGCCTCCCGTGTCCTTGTCTCTGGTCTCCCCCGGTCCCTACCTCCCCTACCTTCGGGGCCTGCCCCTACCTGCGTCCCCTGCGTCGAGGGGCGACAGCGCGCCGCCCCTCGCTCCTCCGAGTTTCCTCCGACAGAGGCTCCACTGCAGACTCTTTACATGGACATGTGGGGCCCCGCCCACGTCCGTGGCCAGGGTCACGAGCGTTACTTCTTGTTGGTGGTTGACGACTACTCGCGGTACACCACGGTGTTCCCCTTGCGCAGCAAGGGTGACGTCACTGAGTTGTTGATCGACTGGATCCGCGCAGCTCGTCTCCAGCTCAGAGAGAGTTTCGGCTCGGACTTTCCTGTTCTGCATCTGCACTCTGACAGAGGCGGGGGGTTTTCCTCTGCCCGTCTGGGAGCCTTCTGTCGTGCACAGGGCATCCGCCAGACCTTCACGCTTCCGGCCTCTCCACAGAAAAATGGGATTGCTGAGCGCCGCATTGGCATGGTCATGGACGTCGCTCGTATGTCCATGATCCATGCGGCTGCCCCCCATTTTCTGTGGCCGTTTGCGGTTCAGTACGCAGCGCATCAGCTCAACCTTCAGCCCCGGGTCTCCTTGTTAGAGACCTCCCCCACCTTGCAGTGGACGGGGAAGGTTGGCGATGCGTCTGCGTTTCGGGTCTGGGGATCTCGGGCGTTTGTCCGCGACTTGTCTGCGGACAAGCTGTCCCCCCGTGCTGTTCCCTACGTCTTCCTTGGCTTTCCCCCTTACGCGCCTGGGTGGCAGTTTTACCACCCCACCTCGCGCCGTGTTCTGTCCTCCCAGGACGTCACCGTTGACGAGTCGGTGCCTTACTACCGTCTCTTCCCCTACCGCACTGCGCCCCTCCCCCCGCCGCCGCTCTTCCTTGCGCCAGGTCCTCCCCTGGTAGACCCCCTCCCCCCTCAGGGTCCTGCCCCGTCAAGTGTGTCCCAGGTAGACGTAGTCGAGCCGGTCGAGGTAGCTGTTGACTCTGGTGCTGCTAGAGGTGCTGAGCCTGCGGGTGCGCGGTCTGGAGGTGCTGAGCTTGGGAGTGCGGAGCCTGGGGGTGCTGAGTCCAGGGGTGCGGAGCCTGGGGGTGCTGAGCTTGGGGGTGCTGAGTCTGGGGGTGCTGAGCCTGGGGGTGCTGAGTCTGGGGGTGCTGAGCCTGAGGGGTGCTGAGCTAGGGGATGCGGAGCGTGGGGGTGCTAGGTCTGCTCGTGTGGCCTCTCGCGGTGCTTCGTCGAGGCGGGAGCTACTCTCTCCGCAGGAGCTGCGCGAGTAGTTTGCCCGGCGCTAGAGCCGTGCTGCTGGAGTTGGTCCTGCTGGAGGTACTGCTGGAGCTGCCGGCGGTACTGGAGCTGCCGGTCCTATTGGCGTTGGTGAATCTGCTGTTGGTGGTGCGTCTGAGGGTGCTGGAGTTGGCGGTGTTGGAGCTGGAGGTGCTGCTGGCGCTAGTGCTGCCGTTGAGGGTACTGGTGTTGTCCCTGCTAGTTCTGGAGGCGCTGCGCGGCTGAGGTCCTACTTCGTTCCACTCCTTGAGCAGGTTCTTGGTCCCCCGCCCTCTACTAGTCCTGCTCCTCCCTTAGAGTGTCCACAGCATGTCGAGTCGCGGTCACAGTCACAGCCCGCCTCCCCCCTGCCTGCTCCTTCTCCCTACACTGGTCCTACTGGAGGTCTTGCTGAGCGTCGTGAGCCTGCGTCTCGTCCTGCGTCGCCTGTTTGTGCTGCTCGCACTAGTGGTCGTGCTTTGCGTCTGCGTCCTCCTACGGTCCCAGGCACACACCAGATGGCACTGCGTCCTTCCACTGCTCCTCTACGTGTCCCGTTGCCGTCTCCTCAAGAGTCCTCTCTTCCTATTCTTGCTGACCCGGAGTCTGACTCTCTTCGTGCTGCCAGTCCTACTATCACGCATCTCCTGGCTACTGTTGTCACTGACCCTTCCATTGAGTCCACTGCTGCATCTTCCCTAGTTGCTGAGCTTGTCGACTTTGCTGCTCGCTGTCGTCTCGACTACTCTGCTAGTCTTGTTGCTGAGTCTGAGTCTGTCTGTCCTCCGTCCGTCGGGGGTGAGTGTGCTCTTAACACAGACGTCCTTGAGGACAGGCAGGAGGAGTTCCAGTGTTTTGCTGCTGCTTTACCTCATCTCGTGTCCACGCTGATTGCCCATGAGGGAGACCCGGATGCACCAGACATCCCGACTACTCGATCGTACGCTGAGGCGATCGAGGTTCCCTACTCCTCACAGTGGCAGTCAGCCATGGACGCAGAGATGGCTTCCTGGAAGTCCACAGGCACCTACGTCGACGAGGTTCCCCCACGTGGGGCGAACATCGTCAGTGGCGTGTGGATTTTCAGGGTGAAGCGGTCGCCAGGTTCTCCGCCTGTCTTCAAGGCGCGTTACATGGCTCGAGGCTTCAGTCAACGGCAGGGAGTTGACTACTTTCATACCTTCCCTCCCACCCCGAAGATGACCACTCTTTGGGTGCTGCTGCACATAGCCGCTCAGCGTGACTACGAGCTTCACTCTCTTGACTTCAGCACAGCTTTCCTGCAGGGCAGCCTGCACGAGGAGATCTGGCTGCGCCGCCCACCTGGCTTCACTGGGTTGTTTCCTCCTGGTACCCAGTGGAGCCTCCGGCGGCCAGTCTACGGTCTCCGCCAGGCGCCCCGTGAGTGGCACGACACACTGAGGACTACACTTGCGGCTCTTGGGTTTGCTCCTTCTACAGCCGACCCGTCGCTGTTTTCTGCGCACCGACACCTCTTTGCCGCCGTTCTACATCCTTGTGTACGTCGACGACTTGGTCTTTGCCACTGCTGACACTGCTGGACTCGCCCACGTGAAGTCCGAGCTGCAGAAGAGACACACGTGCACAGACCTGGGTGAACTGCGCAGCTACCTTGGCTTGCAGATCACCCGGGACTGAGCACAGCGCACCATTACCCTGACTCAGTCACACATGGTGCAGCAGGTCCTTTAGCGCTTCGACTTCACGTACTCCTCGCCTCAGGCCACTCCTCTGTCTACTCGCCACTCGCTCTCAGCTCTGCCTTCGGATGAGTCCGTAGAGCCGAGTGGCCCGTACCCAGAGCTTGTTGGCTGCTTCATGTACCTGATGACCTGCACACGACCTGACCTTGCATACCCTCCTAGCATCTTGTGATGCTATGTTGCTCCTGGGTGACACCGACCAGAGCACATGGCTGCCGCAAAGAGGGTGTTGCGCTACTTGTGCAGTACGTCGGGCATGGGGCTAGTGCTTGGAGGGCGACGTCGAGTGGTCCTCACAGGCCACGCAGACGCTTCTTGGGCTGACGACCAGGCTACGCAGCGGTCGTCACAGGGTTACACCTTCAGCCTTGGCTCCGGCTCTGTTTCGTGGCGGTCTACCCGCTCGTCTTGTGTTCTCGGCTCCAGCTGTGAGGCTGAGATCTACGCGGGGGCCACGGCTGCACAGGAGCTACGCTGGCTCACCTACCTACTGACTGACCTAGGAGAGCCGCCTCGTTCTCCTTCAGTTCTGTACGTAGACAACAAGGCCATGCTGGCCTTGTGTCGGGAGCACAGACTGGAGCACAGAACGAAGCACATTGCTCTTCGCTACTTCCTTGCTCGTGAGCTGCAGCAGCGTGGTCAGCTGCGCCTTGCTTACATGGCCTCTGAGGCCAACAGTGCTGATATCTTTACCAAGGCACTTCCGCCTGGTGATCATCAGCGCTTCTGTACGATGCTAGGTCTTGTGCCTACTTGGCCTCACTTGCTTACTTCTTGACCTTGCTTGTACTGTGATCTTTCTATACCTGCACTTGCCTGTTTACCTTTATATATGATCTTGCATGTGAACTGGCCTTTTGGCCTTGCTCTTGTGCTCGGATTGTGTGGTGACGTTGTGATCCACCCTGAGCTTGCTTTGCTTTGCTTGACTGGTCTTGTGACCTCTTGTTCTCCCCCACTTTGCCGATGGGGGTGTGTCAAACTTATATGCTATAGTCTGTGTAGGCTGTAGTGGGGTAGACTATATGGGGTACAACATTTCTAGGTTTTCCTACTTGTACCCACCTGCTTGCTAGTTCATTCATTCCTCATTCTTCACATGCCGAAATCTCCATTGGCGGCGCCCAAATTATCACCGACCAGCAGAATGTGTTTGCTTGCATCCGCCTTTAGAAGTGAGAGCGCTTTGAGAGCAAGGCTACGGCGCAGAGCGAGGAACCTCGCCGATCCTACATAGATTGAAAAAAAAAAAAAAAGCAACAACAAGATTAATATAGATCCGTCGATTTAGTTGAAACAGGGAACCGGGCTCCGGGAAGGAGTCAAATCGAGAATGCACGACAAAAGCGTAATTGAGTTGAGGAGAGTTGGGAAAGTAGTTTCATAATGATATAAGAGGTAAGGGAAAATGCTATGGAAATGGTGGGGATGAGGAGAGAATGTTGCGCACCGAAGTGGAACACTCACCTGGCTCTACAACACTGACGCCGCCAAAAGCGCGAGACGAAAAGGCAATGCCATGCATCGCATTTCGCAGCCCATTGTGCAGGGATAAGGCTCTCCTCCTCCCGTACTCGTTGGAAAGAGATGAGTTAAATGACACAGATTCAACACTGGGAAAGGCTCGAGTGCCGGGAAGGCTGAAAGTGCCTTGTGAAATGTCCCATAAGGGGCGAGTATGCATTTGTGAGTGACGAGTGTGTATTTCTACTTGTACAATTGTGGTGTGGTGCGAATGCGACTCGAAAGGAATTGTGGCTTGGTGGGAGCCCATGACGCGATTGGTTTCGGCGGGATGATGTGGTTTCCCGCCAGGTCGAATCCGCGACTTCCGGAACTAGCTCAGGTTTTGCAGGCGCATTTTACGACAGGGAGATTGGACGATGGTTCCATGGCCTGTACACATGATGCCCAACCAGTGCACCCGAATTTGCCTTGCACCGGATGGAAACGCTGCACCCGAGCTTTGAACCCCGGTCAGTTGCTCCCACGGTACAGGCACCTGGATGGCAAGCTACAATACACGCATTGCGACCAACATTGCACATGCAGTCCCGAACAAGGCAGGTCGACCCTGGTTTGCCTTGTTTCTAGGCTAGAAGTCAGACGGGCGAAATGTGTGAACGAAACGCGAGTGGTTTCGTGAATGCATTCGCCCGAGTGCCCTGCCAGACGGGCAGAGTGCATGTAACAGATAGTTGGGCAGGTTCACTCTGCCACGTGTATCCTGCACTTGTAGGGTACAAGAGCATTACCAGCCAGGCATTGTTCGGACACATCACGTCAGGCATTCTATTGTGTGGTTACCAAACTAAACATGCGGTTCTTCAAGACAGATGCATGAAACGAACATCGCCCAGACGACTACCAACAGCCACATAGAACAGGCCCTACGCATGCATCAGAGCGCACGCCATCCTAAGTTAAATTGATGTGAAGGAATTCACTTCTGCAGCTTGATCACAGACCCTCGCACCTCACCATGCCTCGTTTCCGCCGCCGTGAGCAGGTCCCGCTGCACATTAAGCGCGCAATATGCCTGCATCACATAGAGAACCCTTGCCTGCGTCACGTTGACCTGGCGAGGTGGTGCTACTCCCAGTATAGCCTTTGCCCGTACCGCTCCACCGTCGGCCGCATTTTGAAAAGCGCTGAGCGCTGGGGTGTCGTGGTGACGGGCGACAACCAAGTCCGCCGGCGAGGAGGCACATGGCCTGAGCTGGAGCAGGCCATGGCGCGGTGGATCGCTAACGCCGGGCCCACAGGCATACAGCTGACGCTGCAAACCATCAGCAACCTTGTCGCCACCATGGCGCGGAACATAGGCATTCTGCCCACATTTCGATGCTCTATCGGCTGAGTGCGCCGTGCGTTGCGGCGCCAGGGGGTGAGGTGCCGTGCATCAGTCGGTGAGGCGGCCAGCGCGGACAAGGCCGCAGTGCGCGACGCCCGGGAGAAGCTGCCGCAACTGCTTATGCAACTCTCGGCTAGTCCGCGCGACACGTTCAACCTCGACGAAACTGCCCTTTGGTTGTCTGTGCTCCCGCGGCGGACGTACAGCAATGGCCATATTCATGGGCAGAAGGTATCGAAGGAACGCCTTACTGTGGCGTTTCTCGTCAATGCAGACGGGAGCCACGTGTTCCGCCCGTTGGTCATCAGCAAGGCGAAGCGCCCGCACGATTTTCGCCCGGACTATGATCCAGAGCTCCTCTGCTACTGGCGTCACAACGCCAAAGGGTGGATGACGGCCCCTGTGAGTTTGTGATTGCGTTTTCTTCATGGCGCGGGTGTTTCAGCTGTGGAAGTGCGCGCTTTATACCTTAGCTGTTCGCTCACGTGCGTTTCCACGTTTGCCACTATCCCCTTCCCTCCCTTCCCCGCCCATAGTTGTTCACTCACTTCATCTCGTAGCTCAATGCTGCCATGTATGCGGAGGGACGCCACATCATCGTTTTGCTTGACAACGCAAGCTTGCACATGCTCAGGAGCGAATTTGCGTGGAGCGAGATTGTTTGCGGCATGCGGACGACTTGCATGAGCAATGTCCGCCTGGTCTTCCTGCTGCCGAACACCACGGCCTTCACCCAGCCCCTTGACCAGGGGATCATTGCCACTGCCAAGGCTCGCTACCGCCAGCACTGGTTGCGGGCCTTCACGACTCTATGGAACGCGGACGGAGCCACAAGCGTTACCGCGCAGTTCCGCCCGAACCTGCGCGACGTGCTGGCATGGCTGTCGAACGCGTGGACGAGCGTCGGTGCGCGCACCGTCCAGCGGTGCTGATGGCGCACGGGATGTCTCCCACTTTCGTGGGCCATGGAGATGACCTACGTGCACGACAACGAGCCCACCCCGTCCGCCTATCCCGACATCGAGCTTGATGACGAGATAGGCGACGTCGGCACTCTTATCAGTGAGCTCGGGCTCGGGCATGGTGCGATGACCACGGCTGAGTACATCGCCATCGACGACGGTGAGCCGACGTGCGCCGAGCATGCGGCGGATCAGATGACGACGGAGCCAGACGCGGGCATGGTGGTGGAACAGTGGGAGGCGCCGACCACCATGCAGGCCGTATACGAAGATGCCGGCCCTGTGAGGATCTAGGATCAAGCTCAGAAAAGAGAATGTGAATTGAATGATCACCTGGGTACAACACGAGGCTATATATAGGCTCGACACAAGGCCCCGTAACCAGGTGTTACGCGAAGGTTCCGCGAGTCGCGAAGTGTCCCGAACAGACCCTTCCGGAATTCGGTAGAAGGCAATGCGGTGGCAACCGAAAAGCCCAGAATTCGGTGCACGCAACCTAGTTCGGTGCTATAACTATAATAAAATATAGGAAAGCACCTAGCCTAGGAGATCAAGCAATTCATGCAAGCATATAATTATCCTATGCTAGAAATAGCATAATAAAGTAAAGGCAAGCAAGCATAGCTGGCATAAGCCGTCGTACTCTCACAGACCCCGTGGGCCGTGAAGCGCAACGCACGGCCCATGCGGCATGCGAGATGCTCATCGGCTATGCTCGCGCCACCCGTATCACGTCGCGCGACCTCTGCCACCTTTTCGACATCCGTAACCCGATCATCATCGCGCGGATGGAATGGGCGAGCCCGCCCTTTAATCTCAATGTGGCCCCGCCGGCCGAGCGCACCCCGGGCGCAACACCCATACCCGACACCCCGCGTCTACGCGCCCGAGTGCTGCCTGGTTGGATGACCCAGCCTTCCTGTCGTTAGCAGCTGCTGGACGCCGGCGTTGGCGCCGTGATGGGCGGGTATGTTGACGCGGCGGAATGGATGCGCCTGTGAGTGGTGTTTGAGCCCACGTAGTAAGGTGCCGAAGGCTTCTTGCTATGCACGAGTGTTCACTCCTTGTGCACATTTGTGTGTGTTTCCTTCATTGTGGACATTGGAACTGGGGGGCCATGTGGGTGAGTGTGATTGGCGGTGTCCAGTGTTTTGTATGTTGCCGACTAAGTTGAACATTTGATGAGGATGCCTGGTTAGCTGTTCTTGTAATTGTTAAGTAACCAGAAACACACATTAGGGACAAGGAGTGCCAACCATTGCTGTTATGAAACAGACAAAACACGTGGTTACCATGTTCAGTTTTGAAGCACGTGTTGAGCCTAACGAAACGTACGAACCCCTAACGACATGTTAGTTTAGCATACAGACCCCCTTCACAAGGCAACCGAAAGGGGCTCTGACGGGCATCAAATTGTACAAGTTCAATCAGCGATTCCGAAATGGCTCACAAATGCGCTTCCGACTGTCAAACTGTATGCTTATTGTTTAGTTAGGTTGTATTGGGGCTAGCTTTAGGGGGTACACAATTTCCCTCGACATTCTAGTCTTGTACCCACCTTGACCTAATACAATCACTCTTGCCTAGGTATTCTAACATGGCATCTAGAGCAGGTTCTTAGGACCTAAGATTAAGGGCCCACCCGTTACCGTGTTACCAACGGCCTGCCTGCCTGCCTTGCCTACCTGTTTGCCTTGTCTCCTGACCGCGCGCGCCTCGGCTGCGCGCGCGCGAAGCGTTTTTTTTTTTTTAGCGCGCGCGCTGCTGCTGCCACTCGCGTCGCGCCCCGCACGTCGCCCGCGCAGCCCGCCCTGAGCCCGCGCGGACCCGCGCACGGCCCGCAGCTGCCCCGCGCACGCCCGCGCCGAGCCAGCGCAGCCCGCCCGCGAAGCCAGCGCGCAGACCGCGCACCGCCCGCGCGCAGCCTGCGCACCGCCCGCGCGCAGCCAGCGCACCGCCCACGCACTGCCTGCATTGCGCCCTGCCAGCCCGCGAGTGGCCTGCCGCCTCGCCTTGCGCACTTCGCCGCCCGTGTGCCACGTGTCCGCTCTAGCCGCGCGCCGCCCGTTTTGCACGTGCCTGCCGTGCCTGCCTTGCGCCTTGCCTGAGGTGCGCCTGCCTTGCTCCTGCCTGCCTGTAGTGCGCCTGCCTGCCTTGCGCCTGCCTGTCTTGAACCAACACTGCCATCATGGCGACACTTAACGTTCTCGCATTTGAGCCTGATGGTCGCCCGATAGAATTTGCCACTTGGCTTGACGATCTGCAGCTGTTTCTCATGACGGATGCCAAAGACAGCGTTTCTCTGTTCGATCACATGTCTGGCACTGCCCCTGCTCCTGCTGACAGTGCTACTGCTCTTGACCGCTCATAGTGGCAGACTCGCGATGCTGCTGCGCGCCTCACTATCCGCAACCACCTGCCGATCACTGAGCGCGCGCATTTTAGTCAGCATAAGACTGCTAAGGCGCTGTACGACGCTGTAGTTGCGCGCTATTCCTCCCCAGCCACTGCAGCCATAGGACGCCTCATCCTGCCCTACCTGTTCTCCGACCTGTCCTCGTTCACCACCGCTGAGGACCTCATCTCTCACCTCCGCGTTAGTGACTCCCGCTTTCGTGCCGCTCTTACCGACGAGTTCCTCGCCACGAACACCCCACCGTTGTACTTTACCCTCTACATCCTCGTCACTCGCCTCCCTGACACTCTTAGCTCGGTCAGGGACCATTTCCTCGCCAAGGACCCTACCACTATCACTCTAGCCGACTTCGAGCAGCAGCTCCTAGCAGCAGAGAAGAACATCCTCGCTGTAGGTGCTGCCCGTGGCACTCCACGCACTCCCCTCTTTGAGGGGTGCTCCCCCTCCCCTCTTGCCCCCTCTTACGCCTCAGCTGCTGCTGCAGTCGACCTCCTCGGTGCTGAGAAGGTTGCAGCGGCTTCCGCTCCTGGTGGGAAGCGCGGCAGTGGCAGGGGCGGCAAGGGTGGCAGGGGTGGTGGCGGTGGCGGTGGAGGGAGCGGTGGTGGAGGCGGCAGGGGTGGTGGCGGTGGTGGGGGTGGTCGTGGGGGTGGAGGAGGTGGGTGGGGCGGCGGTGGAACTGGGAGTGGTGGAGGTGGCAGCGGAGGTAGTGGGGGAGGAGGCAGTGGTGGTGGCGGTGGAGGTGGGGGCGGGAGTGGGACCGGCCAGAAGGGGAGTTCCAGTGGGGGCCAGCAGCAACAGCAGCAGCATCAGCAGCGCCCAACCCCCTCTTCTCAGGAGCTCCATGACTGGTATGCCGGGCGTGGGGCGTCTGGGGGTCCTGGTCCCTGCCCCTATGTCGTTCTCAGTGGTCCCCGTAAGGGTCGCCCATGCAACGGCTTTCACACTGAGTTCCGCTGCTTTGCTAGGCTTAGCGACGCCTGGCGCGCCAAGTTTCCTGATGCTACTGAATTCCCCAACTGGGCAGATTTGCTTAGGTGTGATGTACCTATCTTTGATCTTGACTATGATGCAATCCTTGCTGCCATGTATGCATTGACTGTTAGTGCTGAGGGTGACTGTTACTTGTGTGTGCCGCCTGACCCCGGTATAGACCCAGGTATAGCGCCTGCAGCCCTAGGTGTTAGTGAGTCTCCTCTCCCTGGTACTGCGTCCGCTCAGGCCTTGCACACCTTTACACTTGACTCTGGTGCTTCCCGCTGTTTCTTTCGCGACAGCACCACAGTCACTCCCCTTCGTCGACCTGTCCCTGTCTCACTGGCTGACCCCTCTGGGGGCCCAGTGCTTGCACGGTCCACCACTGTGCTTCCGTGCCCGGCGGTCCCGTCTGGTGAGCTGTCAGGTCTCCACCTCCCCTCGTTCTCTACGAACCTGGTGAGCAACGCCGTCCTTCAGGATCACTAGGTTGACACCTTTACTCCTGGAGGACAGCGTGTGGCAATCTGCACGTGCTCCCGGACAGGTCGCCACCTGGCCACGTTCACACGTGCGCCTGGGTCCAGTCTGTACACCCTCACCACCGCGTCGTGCTACACCCTGTTGTCTCCCCAGCTGTATGCGTCTGCTCAGGTAGCTACCCGGTGTGAGTGTCGCCGACTGTCGCACGACACTCTCCTGTGGCACCACCGCCTTGGTCACCCCTCCCTGCCTCGCCTTCGTAGCATGCACTCTCGCTTCCTGGTCTCTGGACTTCCCAGGTCTCTGCCTGCCCTCCCTCCCTCGCCTGCGCCACCCTGCATTCCTTGCGTCGAGGGGCGGCAGCGCACCGCTCCTCACTCCTCCTCGTTCCCTCCCACAGAGGCTCCACTGCAGACTCTCCACCTGGACGTGTGGGGCCCAGCCCGTGTCCGGGGACAGGGCCACGAGCGGTACTTCCTGCTGGTCGTCGATGACTACACGCGTTACACCACGGTCTTCCCCTTGCGCACCAAGGGTGAGGTCCCTGATGTTCGGATCCCCTGGATCCGCGCTGTTCGTCTCCAGCTCTGCGAGCGGTTCCAGTCGGACTTTCCTGTCCCGCGTCTGCACTCTGGCAGAGGTGGTGAGTTCTCCTCAGACCTCTTGGCGGCCTACTATGCGGAGCACGGCATCCGCCAGACGTTCACGCTTCCGGCCTCTCCGCAGAAGAATGGGGTTGCTGAGCGCCGCATTGGCTTAATCATGGAGGCCGCTCGGACCTCCATGATCCATGCGGCTGCCCCCCATTTTCTGTGGCCGTTTGCGGTCCGGTATGCCGCGCATCAGCTCAACCTCTGGCCCCGTGTCTCCGTGCCGGAGACCTCGCCCACACTGCGTTGGACGGGAAAGGTTGGCGATGTGTCGCGTTTCCGGGTCTGGGGTGCTCGTGCCTTTGTCCGCGATACCACCGCGGACAAGCTCTCCCCTCGCGCCATTCCCTGCGTCTTTCTTGGCTTTGTCCCTGACGCGCCTGGCTGGCAGTTCTACGACCCAGCCACGCGCTGTGTCTTTGCGTCTCAAGACGTCACCTTTGACGAGTTCGTCCCCTTTTACCGTCTCTTTCCCTACCGCACTGCTCCTCGCCCCCCCCCCGCCGCTCTTTCTCGCTCCAGGTCCTCCCCAGGTAGACCCCCTCCCCGCGCCAGGTCCTGCTCCTTCAGGTGTTTCTTAGGTTGACCCTCCCTGCCTGCGCTTGTTGAGGTCACTGGTGACTCAGGTCCTGTTGGGGGTGGTCCTGCTCGGGGTGCTGTCTCTGGGGGTGCTGAGCCTGGGGGTGCGGAGCCTGAGCGTGAGGAGCCTGGGGGTGTTGAGCCTGGGGGTGCGGAGTCTGAGCGTGAGGAGCCTGGGGGTGCTGAGCCTGGGGGTGCTGAGCCTGCGTGTGAGGAGCCTGGGGGTGCTGAGTCTGGGGTTGCTAAGTCGGGGGGTGCTGGGACTGCTCCTCAGCGGTCCCCTTGGAGTAGTCGTCTTCGTGCGTGTGTGCCTCTCACCTAATAGCAGCTGCACGACTGGTACGGTCGCCGTCAGGGTCGCGCTTCTGGAGCTTGGGGCTCTGCTGCTGGAGGTACTTCTACTGCCGTCACTGGAGCTGGGAGTGGTGCTGGTCCCGGAGGTGCTCGTACTGGAGGTACTGGAGCTGCTTGGGCGGGAGGTGCTGCTGAGCCTGAGGGTACTCCTGGTGGAGACCCTGGTGTGGGAAATGAAGGTTAGAGTAGAACTGAATGTTTGGATTGAAAATGGTAGGGGTATACATAGTTGGGGGTTGGGCACTAGTCTAGGGAGCCATTATTGGACCCCAACCAATAAGTTGGGTTGGGTGATTATTGGTGGGGTCCAATAATGTTGGCCAAGTTGGGGTTGGGCCAACATTATTGGAGGGAGCCAATAATTCTACCCAACCCAACCTTTTGGGGTCCAATAATTGGACCAAGGTTGGGTTCCAACCTACAAACTGGGTTACCCCGACTTGTACACCCAAACTCTATTTGGGTGCTTATCTCTAGCCTATTCATGACATGTATGCAGGTTACAAGAGGAGATATATTCTAACACCTGGGTCTGGGGGTACTGCAGCTGGTGACCCTGGGACTTGAGGTGCTGGTTCTGGGGGTGCTTCTGCTAAGGGTGCTGGAGCTGCTGGAGGTACTGGAGCTGCTGGGGGTGCTGGAGCTGCTGAGGGTGCTGGAGCTGCTGAGGGAGCTGGAGCCGCTGGTGCTGGTGGCGCTGCGCAGCCACGCCTGTTCTTTGCTCCGCCTTCTCCATCGTCTCTGTCACCGCCTGCCTCCGTGCTTCCCCTGGTTCTTAGCCTCCCATCGTCTACTGGTCTTCCGTTACAGCCTGGCTCACCCCTGCCTGCTCCTCCTTACACTGAGCAGTCAGAGGGTCATGCTGAGCGCCGTGAGCCTGCGTCGCATCGTGTCTCGCCTGTCCGTTCTGGTCGTTTTGGTCGTCATGTTCCTCGTCAGCGTCAGCCGGCTGTTCCAGGCACCCACCTTTTAGTCCGTCGTCTTTCCTCTTCTTCGCCTTGTGTTCCTTTGCCGTCCCCTCCTGAGTCCTCTCTGCCTGTCGCTGACGACCCTTAGTCTGACCAGTTTCGTATTGAGCACCCTACGGTCACACGTCTGTTAGCCACTGTTGTCACTGACCCGTCTTTTGAGTCCACTGTTGCGTCTGCCCTAGAAGCTGAGCTTGTTGACTTTGCTGCTGCCTGTCGTCTGGACTACGCTACTAGACTTGTTGCTGAGTTTGAGTCTGTCTATCCTCCGTCCGTCGGGGGTGAGTGCTCTTGGCACTGACGTCCTTGAGGACAGGCACGAGGACCTTGAGTGTCTTGCAGCCGCTGCGCCTCATCTCGTGTCCATGGTGCTTGCCCCTGAGGGAGACCCGGATGCTCCAGACATCCCGACCCCGCGCTCTTGCGCTGAGACGATCGTGGGTGAGTACTCCTCTCAGTGGCAGACAGCCTTGGATGCAGAGAAGGCATCCTGGAAGTCCACAGGCACCTACGTCGACGAGGTTTCCCCTCCTGGGGCGAACATCGTCAGTGGCATGTGGACTTTCAGGGTGAAGCGGCCGCCAGGTTCTCCGCCTGTCTTCAAGGCTCGTTACGCTGCTCGAGGTTTCAGTGAGCGAGAGGGAGTTGACTTCTTCCAGACCTTCTCCCCCACCCCAAAGATGACCACTCGTCGGGTGCTGCTGCACGTTGCTGCTCAGCGTGACTACGAGCTTCACTCTCTTGACTTCAGCACAGCTTTCTTACACGGCAGCCTGCACGAGGAGATCTGGCTGCGCCGCCCTCCTAGCTTCACTGGGTCGTTCCCTCCTGGTACCTAGTGGAGCCTCCGGCGGCCAGTCTACGGTCTCCGTCAGGCGCCGCGTGAGTGGCACGACACACAGAGGATGACACTTGCGGCTCTTGGGTTTGCTCCGTCGACTGCTGACCCGTCGCTGTTTCTGCGCACCGACACTTCGCTGCCGCAGTTCTACATCCTTGTGTATGTCGACGACTTGGTCTTTGCTACTGCTGACACTGAGGCTCTCGCCCTGGTGAAGTCGGAGCTGCAGAAGAGACACACGTGCACAGACCTGTGTGAGTTGCGCAGCTACCTTGGCTTGCAGATCACCCGGGACAGAGCACGCCGCACCATCACACTAACTCAGTCACACATGGTGCAGCAGGTCCTTCAGCGCTTCGGCTTCACCTGGTCCTCAGCACAGGCCACTCCTCTGGCTACAGGTCACTCGCTCTCAGCTCCACCTTCGGACGAGTCCGTAGAGCCGAGTGGTCCTTACCCAGAGCTAGTGGGCTGCCTCATGTACCTGATGACCTGCACTCGTCCTGACCTTGCGTACCCTCTTGGCCTTCTGGCTCGCTATGTGGCTCTTGGTCGGCATCGAAAGGTGCACATGGATGCTGCTAAGAGGGTACTACGCTACTTGTGCAGTACATCGGGCATGGGGCTTGTGCTTGGAGGACGGGACGACGTTGTCCTCACTGGTCACTCGGACGCTTCTTGGGTTGACGACCAGGCTACGCAGTGGTCGTCACAGGGTTACACCTTCAGCCTTGGCTCTTGCTCTGTTTCTTGGCGTTCTACACGCTCGTCTTCCGTTCTCGGCTCCAATTGTGAGGCTGAGATCTACGCCACAGCCATGGCTGCACAGGAGTTACGCTGGCTCTCCTACCTGCTGACCGACCTGGGAGAGCGGTCTCGTTCTCCTCTAGTGCTGTACGTCGACAACAAGGCCGCCATTGCCTTGTGTCAAGAGCACAGACTGGAGCACAGAACGAAGAATATCGCTATGCGTTATTTCCTGGCTCGAGAGTTGCTGCAGCGTGGTCAGCTTCGTCTTGCTTACGTGGCCACTCGGGCCAACACTGCTGATATTTTCACCAAGGCACTTCCGCCTGGTGATCATCAGCGCTTTTGTACCTTGTTGGGCCTTGTGCCTATGTTTCCTCACTTACTGTAGGCTTTACCTGTACTGTGATCTATATATATACCTGTATTCCTACACCTGCTAGGTTGTGATCACTGCATTGCTTGTGCTTTTATGAACTGGCCTTGTGGCCTCTTGCTCTTGCTCAGAGTGTGTGGTGACTTTGTGATCCACCCTGAGCTGTGATTTGTTTCTTCTCTTGATTGGTCTTGTGACCATTGTCCTTGCTCTCGCTATCCCCTATTTCGCCGATGGGGGTGTGTCAAACTGTATGTTTATTGTTTAGTTAGGCTGTATTGGGGCTAGCTTTAGGGGGTACACAATTTCCCTCGACATTCTAGTCTTGTACCCACCTTGACCTAATACAATCACTCTTGCCTAGGTATTCTAACACCGACTGTTGCGCGGTACTGTTTGGACAGGCCACAGGCCCCCACAGAACCTGCGCAATGTTGAAGTTCGTTGACCGCTTTCTTGGGAAATTGGGAAAGCGGTTGACGCGGCAGGCCCGCGAAGTGCGCAAGTGCGAAAGCAGCAGATAACATGAGGACGCGGTGAAAGTGGAGAATCGGTCGTCAAAGGATCGTTTTTTAGCGCGGTTATAAAAGGTTGTGTACCTTTCTTGTCCAAAATGCAGGGTTCAGTGCGGTGACCGAATCGATCTACCCCCGATCGAGCACTTTCACCACGTCCTGAGACACTTGATATTTGCGAAACACCCGTTCATCTCCTATCACCACTATATGAACCTTTTCTCTATTCAAGCATGACATGCTCTCAAAGCGATGCACCACCCAATGACAGGTAAGGTGATTAATGACGCCAGCCCTACTGTTATTTCATAACACACATGATGGCAGAAGTAAACCTCGGGATAGCACTATCTGAATCGAACGATGACATCGTTAGGCAATATTGTAGCACCATCACTCAGCGCACCATAAATAGCTGACAGCGCATGTCCTGCCAGCCCATACAGCCGGTTGGGTAGCCCCAGCTCCAGCCAGAACGAAGGATAGTCTTGCATGAGTGAGTCTTAATAGAATCCCCTTCTATGTTTCAACCATCCCGCACCGTTCTCAATCCTGCCCGCTCCAGTCGTACAGCCGGTTGGGCAGCCCCAGCCAGAACCAGAACCAAGGCCAGTGTTGAGGCTTGACTTGAGACATCTTCCAAGCTTCAACCATCCCCCACCGCTCTCAATCCCGCCAGCTCCAGTCAGACTCGTACAGGCGGTTTGGCAGCCCCAGCCAGAACTTGAGCGCCTCAAAGCCCCGGGACCCCGGGAAGTCATCAGGAACAGCGGTGGTGGTGGAGAGGGAGGAGAGGGCGCGGTGGCGGCGCGAGGAGAGGGAGGTGATGAGCATGCGCTTGTACTTGAGCCTGTCCGGCGCCAGCCCTGCCCTCTCCATCGCCCCCACGACTTCCAGTGCGCGCTGTGAGAGGGAGAGGGGGTGGGAGGGGAGGAGTGGGGAGAGGGGGAGGAGGAGGGGGGAGGGGGAGGGGGAGGGGGAGGGGGAGGGAGAGGGGAGGGGGAGGGGGGAGAGGGGAAGGAGAGGTTTAGAGAAGAGAGCAATTGCCAGGGAAGGGAGGAGGACGCTGGAGATGATGAGAGGCATGCACCCAGAAGTGTTGACGCAAGTAGCAAGGGGTGCAAGAGAGGTGAGTGACGGAGAGAGGTGAGTGACAAGCAGGGGTATAGAGGGAGAAAGGTTTAGAGTGTGAGAGATAGGCCTGGGAAGAGATCCTCACCTGGAAGTACCCGGCCTGCATGAAGATGAGCATGAGCCCATCCATCACTGCCTCGTCAGTGTTGCAGCACGTGACAAGGAGAGGCAGAGTGAGAGGTAGAGAGCGAGAGGGAGGCATGGGGAGAGCAGCTCACCTGGAAGTATCCAGCCTGCATGAAGATGAGCATGAGCCCATCCATCACTGCCTCGTCCACACACACCCCTGCTGCCCCCTTCGCCTCTCCTCCTGCCACTCCTGCCCTCCACGTCACTCTTTCTTCTGCCACACCCACCCCTCTCCCTCTCGCTCCCTCTCCCTCCCTTCTCTGCTCCCACCTGTTCCTCACCCACTCCCTCTCCCTGCGTACCCCTACCACCTCCACCACTCCCCCCTCCTCACCCTCACTCTCCTCCGTCCCTCCCTCCTCCTCACTCCCTCCCTCACTCCCGCTCCCTCCCGCCTCACCTCGCTCCTCCCACCGCCCCTCCCTCGCCTCTCCCATCAGTTCCCACCTTTCTTCCCCGCCCGCAATTCCCCCCAACCCTTCCTCCCCAACACTACCCTCCGCCCCCACCAGACGCTCCTTCAAGTCGCGCCACAGCACCAGCGCCTCCCCGGCCCTCTCTGCTGCTGCCAGTGCTCGCACCAGACTGCCGTATGTGGCTGGGGTAGGGGCAATCGAGGCTGCCTGCAGGCGGGAAGGAAGAGAGAGGTGTGGGAGAGAGAGGGGAAGGTTGCTTCACCAGTCGATCCTTTTGAGTCGCACCACAACACCAGCGCCTCCCCTGCCCTCTCCACTGTTGCCTGTGCGCGGCCTAAGCTGCCATAGGTGGTTGGCGTGGGGAAGACTGAAGCCGCCTGCAGGTGGGAGAGGAGAGGTGAAAGTGAGGAAGGAGGTGAAAGAGAATGGTTCAAACATGTGAAAGTGAGGGGACGACTGAAGTCACCAGCACCAGTGCCTCCCCCCTCTGCAGTTGCCAATGCGCGCATTTGAGTGTCGTTATTGGCTGGCGCGGGGACGACTGAAGCGGCTTGCATGTGGAAGAAAGGCAGTTGCGGAAGAGAGCGAAAAGGCAAAGGCCATTCGCGAGTCATGCGTTTGATCTGTGAGTCATGCGTTTGATCTGTGAGTCATGCGTTTGATCTGTGAGTCATGCGTTTGATCTGTGAGTCATGCGTTTGATCTGTGAGTCATGCGTTTGATCTGTGAGTCATGCGTCTGATCTGTGAGTCATGCGTTTGATCTGTGAGTCATGCGTTTGATCTGTCAGTCATGCGTCTGATCTGTGAGTCATGCGTTTGAGCTATCAGTCAAGCGCGCCTCTTGAGGTGCCTCAAAGCCATGACTGTGCATGAGTTGTAAAATCGTGTACCGATGCGTGCCTCTGCATCTGCCAGTGGCAGCAGAGGGACCACCAAGTGGTGCGGCCAGAAGCGAGGCAGCAGCAAGAGGAGGAGGGAGCATCATGAGCGGTGGCGTGAGTGGGCCTTGGAATGCAGCAAGAAGAGAGCACGAGCAGTTGTTGGTCCCTCGCATGCGAGGAGTGTGGTGGGAGAATGGAGATTCATCATCAGTGAGAGCGAGGTGAGAGCGAGGTGAGAGCGAGGTGAGAGCAAGGTGAGAGCGAGGTGAGAGCAAGGTGAGAGCGAGGCGGTGAGCGGAGAATGAAGGTGACACGGAAGGGAGGTGACTGCAGGGGCAACAGCAGGGATGCGTGCAAGAGAAAGGCGAAGCACGTCAGTGAGGGAGGCGTAGGTATGCCCACCCTGGACCCCCTCGTACGGTTAGGCTTGTAACGCTAAAAGAATGTTCCAAGCTGATACAGAGAGTAGGTTTGCCCACCTTGGCTCGCTGGTACAGGCTCCACGCCTGGTCCACCAGCCCTGCCCTCGCCTGTGAGTCAATCACCGCACCCCACGCCGCCGCATCCACCCGCAACTCCTCTCCACCGCTCACCACCGAGCCGCCTCTCCCTCCCCGACTCCCACCACCGCTCTCTCTCCCTCCCAACCGCACTCCACCACTTCCAGCCTCCACAAGCATGTCTTCAAACACGGAGAGGGCGCGGGCAGGGTCGGCATCAGGGGCCTGGCCGAGGGCAGAGATGAGAGCCGTGTACACCTGCACTGTCGGTGCTATGCCTTCCCGTCGCATGCGCGCAAACCACTGCACTGCTGCCTCTGCCCCTCTCCACTCGCTCTCCCCCCTGCCCCACTGTGTCTGCCACCTGCTGCTGCTGCTGCTGCTGGCCCTGTTGCTGTACTGTGCTGAGTCCACAGCTGTCCTATCCGAATCGGAAGTTCTGGTTCCGCTGGTGAGGCTGCTCCTGCTGTCACCCACACCAGTGCTGCTTGCACCATTGCTATTACTAGGGCTATCATTTCTTGTCGGGCCTGTAATTGCGCCGGCAGCATAGGGGCCAGCAGCAGCCTGAGGCAACACACCAGCCCCGGCAGCAGCAGCAGCAGCAGCGCCACGGACAGCACCACCCTTAGCACTCCACCTCCCCTGACCTCCCTTCCACGTGCCCGCCCTGCCACACGCTGCAATGATGGTCGCAAACGTTGCAGCATTCGGCCGCACGCCCCACACAGCCGCTCCTTGCGGAATCTCAGCCTCAGAAGCACCATCAGTAGCAGCCTCGCGAGCAGCGGGTGGCCTTTGAGGCCCATCAGAAGCACCCTGAGAGCCTCCAGCAGCCTCCCCAGTGCCTTGCACCCGCCGTTGCTTCCCAGCACCCGCACCACACCCCATCTCCCTCAGCAGCGCCTCCACCTCGCCCATCTGCCCGCGGTCGCAGTGGGCTTTAACCAGCACGTTCAGCACGGCTGTGTTGCCCGCCACGCCCCGCGCGCGCATCTCCTGCAGCAGCTGCCGCGCTGCCACCACCGCAAGCTCATCCAGGGTGCCTGCACCTGCTAGGTCCTCGCTGATTTCCCTCATCGCCAGATTGCTGAAGCCTGTCCGGGCCAGCATGTTGTCCCTGCCGCCGCCGCTGCTAGTGATGCTGCTGCTGTATCCGTTCGGCCTCTCAACAATTCCCCCTGGGCGGTCAGACTCACTCCTGCTGCGGCTAGCATCCAGCACGCCCGCACGGCCATTCCCCAGCCCCTGCTGCTCTAGCGCCTCCCCCCTGCATGCACCTGCCTCACCCTCGGCAGAGTTAAGACTCTCAGCGGCGTTACGACCACCACTACTGTCCGCACTGGGCCGTGCAGTCTTCAAAATGCTTGGCCTCCGCAGAGATGATTCTGCTCCCCGCGAATCCACCGCGGCTGCCGCAGCGGGTGAAGTGGCGGGTGCAAGGGGAGGCAGTGCTGGGGGCGTGCTGCTGCTGGCTGTGAGAGCAGCTTGCTGCGTTGCAGAGCTAACTGGAGTGGCTCCAGTGGCAGGGGTGGCGGCAGTAGAGGCAGCAGAGGCAGCGGCAGCGCGGGCGAGGATGGGTGCAGGGATGAGGTGGGGCGGCGAGGAGACGAGGGCGTGCATGAGTGTGGCGTACGTGATGTGGTTGGGCGCCGTGTCCGCCCGCTGCTTCATGCGCTCAAACCACTGCCCATTCATGTTGTGGGAGGTGAGGGATAGGTGGAAGTGGGGGGGAGGACTAGGAAGTCAAGGAAACCGGATCTGGCAAGAATGATGTGATCCTGGTTGGCCCATGCGAACAGAATACAACAGTCGAGTGAACATAGTCTATTATACACAAATGATTTATACGATATAGCACAAGCAAACAATCCATCACAGACGATACGTCACACACAAGACTCAGCGAGTGGGAGAGGGCAGTATGGTATGGATTTGTGGGGAGGAAGAGGGCGCACCTCAAAAGCTGCAGTCAAGTCCCCAGATGCAACGAGCCCCTTGATGAGGATGGAGAGCATTCGCACGTTGGGACCCACCCCCACCCTCCGCTTCCCACCCTCCTCTCCCTGCACCACTCCCTTCTCCTCCCCTTCCCCTTCCACTTCCCCTTCTTTGCCCCCCTCCCCCCCGCCCCTCCCCCTGCGCCTCCCCCAGGTGCCACATGGTCTGCACGAGCGCCTGTGCCTCCCCCATCATGCCGCACGCCACGTACCCCGCCACCACCGAGTTGAACGACGCTGCGTCTGGCTGCACGCCGTGCGCCTGCGGAGTGAGGGAGAGGGGGAGAGGAAGAGAGAGGAGTCAGACAGGGTATGAGGCGGCGCTATGCGGTAGTGAGGCCCAACTGTCCAATCATGCTGCACGCCACATAGCCCGCCACCACCAAGTTGAACGACGCTGCGTCTGGCTGCACGCCGTGCGCCTGCGGAGTGAGGGAGAGGGGGAGAGGAAGAGAGAGGAGTCAGACAGGGTATGAGGCGGCGCTATGCGGTAGTGAGGCCCAACTGTCCAATCATGCTGCATGCCACATAGCCCGCCACCACCGAGTTGAACAACGCTGCATCTGGCTGCACGCCCTGCGACTGTAGGGTGGTGGATGGGGATGGGAGGAGTGAGACAGGGTGTGAGGTGAGGTGCTGTGCTGCTACACGGTAGTGAGCCCCATGAGCCCCATGATGCTGCACTGCACGCCACACACCCTGCCACCACTGGGGTGAACGGCCTGCCTGCTCGCCTTGTCACCCGGGAAGATGGTGTTTGAGTCGGATGGGTGTGGGAGGGGGGAAGGGAAGGGGGAAGGGGGGGAGATAGAAAGGAGGAGTTAAGGCATGCCCTGCATTGCGCGCCCATTGATGAAATTGTTGAAGCTCATGAGGTTGTCACGCGTCACGCCCATGCCTTTCCCCGCCCATGCCTTTCCCCGCCCATGCCTTTCCCTGCCCATGCCTTTCCCCGCCCATGCCTTTCCCCGCCCATGCCTTTCCCCGCCCATGCCTTTCCCTGCCCATGCCTTTCCCTGTCACGCCCACCCCTGCCCATGCGGCCATGCCTTTCCCTGTCACGCCCACCCCTGCCCATGCGGCCATGCCTTTCCCTGTCACGCCCACAGATGCGCTTCCCATGCCATGCCACGCCACTCACCAGCATGTGTCTCAGCAGCTCATGTGCGCGGTCAGGCATGCCCTGTGCTGCGCGCCCCTTGATCAGAATGTTGAAGCTGATGGCGTCGGGGGTCACGCCAGCTCCTGCCATGCCCTCCCCCAGCAGCCGCTCCGCCAATGGGAGGTCGCCAGCTGTCACCGCCGCGTTGATGGCTGCGTTGAAGGCTGCTGTGTCCGGGCGCATGTGGGGGGCGCTCTGAGGGGAGAGGGTGGGAAAAGGGGGTTTGAGGGGGGAATAGGGGGCGCATAGGGGAGATGGGGGCCGGAATAAGGGGTTGAAGGCTGCTGTGTGGGGCGCCATGTGGGGACGCTTTGGGGAGGAAAGCAATGGGGGGTGTGCTTAATGGTGAAGGCACCTTGGCAGCAAGCAGCGCCACAGCAGATCAATGAAAAGCCTCAAGGATCCCAGCATCCCACACGCCTTGACAGCAGCGACGTCGCAGCAGTCTTTGAAAAGCGTCACGGCAGCAGCAGCGAGCGTGGGGTGTCAGCTCATGCGGCTCTATTTTGAGCTGACTCAGAGATCAACGCACCTTGGCAGCAGCGACATCGCAGCAGTCCCTGAAGAGCCTCACGGCGGCGGCAGCGAGCGCGGGGTCGCGGCCCATGCGGCTCACCACGGCGCTCCACACCGCCACGCGCGGCAGGTGCCCCTCGCGCAGCATCTGCGCCAGGAGCTCCGCTGATGGGCGGAAGGACGGAGAGGGGAAGTGGGAAGGGGACAGGAGGGGAGAGTTGGGGGGGAAGAGGCGGGGTCATGGAAGAGACGCGAGAGGGGAGAGGGTGGTGTGGCTGTGCCTGAAAGCACCACGATGCTCTGACACCATGCGAGGTAGGAGTTCTGGTGACGGGAGGAAAGGGTAGCGGAAGCGGAAGAGGGAGAGCAACAGGCCATTGCTCACCTGCGTCAGCCGCACAGCCACTGCGCGCCGCTGCCATCACAGCGAGCCCGAACGCGTCTTCATCCACCTGCACCTCTCTGAACACCTCTCCACTCTCTCCAGCACCACTCCCCACCGCACTCCCCGCCAGCCACTGCTGCTCCCACGCACCCCTGCGCTCCGCCTGCGCCTCTCCGCCCGCCTGTCCCCCTAACTGCGCGCGGGACACCTCGTCGATCAGCCGCTTCGCCTTGCGCCACTGCCCGCGGAGGCTCAGTTGCGCCACCGCGCGGCTCCAGCAGCGGCTGCCCGCCCACCGCCCCGCCTGCCGCTCCCGCCACAGCAGCCTCACCGCGTCGTCCGTGCGCCGGTCCGCCAGCGCGCGCGCAATCTCCGCCTCCACCTCCTCCGCCACGCGCTCCAACGCGCGCTGCTGCGCCCACACCTCCGCCTGTACCGGGGAGGGGCGGGGCGCGCGCTGGCGCTGGCGCGGGCGCTGCGCGGGCATATTGGCGGCGGCCGCCATAACGGAGGACAACGAGGGGAGCTCATCTGCGCTCCCGCGGTAGCCGCCCCGCTCGTTTCCCGCACTCTCGCCCCTTCCTCTCGCAATACCTCTGCTACCACTATCCCCGCTGCTCCTCTCCCCAGCACCCCTCCCCGCGCCATCTGCTTCTCCGCAACCTTCCGACGCGGGGGGGTTCCGCGCGCCTGCAGGATCTGCGCGGCTGGCGCGTGGCGGATCTGACTCTTCGAGCTGCAGGGCGCGCAGCTCGTCGCTGTAATCCGGGCGCCGACTCAGCGGAACCGTCCTCTCGCGCACCTTCTCGGATCTTTCCTGCCACTCCGCCTGCTTTCTCTGCTGCCGCTCCTGCTGCCGCTGCTGCTGCCGTTGCTGCTGCCGCTGTTGCCGCGACTGTCCCTGTCTTCCCCTCGTCCCTCTCTCCCCCGCGCCGTCGCCGAGACTGCTGCCGCGGCGAGGGTCGAAGGAGTCGGGGGAAGGGGAGAGGGGGAAGGGGGAGGCGGAGCAGGAAACCCTCGCAGAGAGTCGGCGGGAAATGCTGGCGGAAAGCGTGGTGGCGGACGTCATTACGTGCGCGGAGGGCAGAAGTGGAGCTGCGAGGTGCGAAACGAGAGGATTCGCGAGGGGAAACGGATCTGCTCGGACCATCGCGCTTCGGTGCCCTCTTAGCAATCTCCTGCTTCGATGGTAACCGAGATGGTTTGTTCTAGGAAACTGAATTCCCTCTCGGAGGTACGAGCGCGTGCGTAGCGACGCAAGCACGAATCGCAGGGCTGACGGTTGAAATCAGATCAGATGCGTCGGGGCGCTCTCACTCTCGCAACGCAGCTTCACTCAATGCTGGTTCAAGCGAACCCTCAAGTCCTCACTGATCCTGGCGCGAGGCATTCGCTACTGACTGCGAGGGTCACCGAGCGACGATCGAACCTACGGAGGCAATGTGATCGACGGTCGAGAGCTAATGGCGAACGAGACGCAAACCTCCATTGTTGATGAAAAAAGAGCGACCACTCCGCGCCGCAGAGTGGCCACTAGCCAGTGTGCGTCGACTGGAGGAGGGTGAAACGTTCCCGATCGACAGCTTCAAGGTATGAACCAGCCCAAAATCAACGGCCGTGTTAGATGCACAGTACTGTTAGAAAAAAACTACGTGTTGGTGGGTGGGAGGTAGGGGTGAAGAAGACTCGGTTTAGGTGCTGTCGATCCCAAGTTTGCAACATGGTTGGAAGCGACTAAGAGAGCTGTAGTGCGGTGGCGATTCGCTCGAGATTCCCAGTCTCCTCATCCCAACGGTAGTCTGTGCGAGGGAATGGGAGGCAAGGAAAGAGTGGGTGTGAGCATCCTCTTTGTACGGTATTATTCGGTAGAAATAGATACATAACGCTTCAATCTGGTGCTTTGGTATAGCAGATTCTCTGACATCACATGTACGATGGAGGCTGTGGCAGGGCAGAGAGGTGCATGATGGCGGCGCGGAAAAGGGTGAATCTCGCTACAAGGCGAAGGGATGGCGTCGAGGGAGAGTCGAATGAACACGTTGTTGCCACGGTGGCCGAACGCGTGGCACGTGATGATGAGCGAGGAAGGACGAGCTGGCAGGCCAAAAGTTCGGTGATACACAAATAACCATCTCCAAGAACTAGCCCTGCTATTCGTTAATATGAAAAATCTGTACTAACATATCGTACCTTAGTAAAGGGTGACATGGGGTTAAGATTGAGGAATTTCGAAACAGGAAGAAAACATTGACATGAAAATATTTTTTTCTATACCAGTTTTAACTAAATATTATAATTCAAGAACACACTGGCTAAGACCTACAGTATTTGCATGCCTCCCAACCTGTTTGCAAATGTATATGCAAGCTTCAAGTATCTTTCATCCTCTGTGAATCCTCAGTACTATTACAGGTGCAATGAATCTGTTGGGAATAAGAAGTCGCTAGAGCGCAGCGGAAGCTCTAGGAATTAACGACGTCCCTACGGCGGGGCTATTGGTCACTCAGAGGTAGCTCTCCTGGCTTGTAACGTGGTGCCAAAGCAGCGGCCGAGGGTAGGCCGGACACAAGCTTGAGAATTGTGTAATATGAGCAAGGCATTACATTCTGTTATATAGCAAACGCATAACAGTTACCAAGGCGCAACTGTATAACAGTTGCGCTGCGTCGCTTGGGTTGCCTTGTTACAGTCGCGCTGGCGAGACTTTTCAGCTTCGGCAAGGGCGCGGTATCCTGCCGCGCCTCACAGGTCAGTTTCGCGTACTGTAGACGATGCCTCCTGCTGTCGATTCGACTCTTGAGCTGCCACGCGGGTCGCAACGGCTGTGTTCGGTTGCGGCCCATTGACTCGTCACCAGGTTCAAATCCTTCGCTATGGCGAGCCCCTGTAAACACACTTCGAACAGTGCACTTATAATAAAAGCATACAAACATATTCTCAACACTCCCCTCCACTGTTAGAAGTGTAGAAACGAGGAGAGCTGCAATCTTGCCGGGTTGAAGTTGTGAAGTCCTTGCCAGGGACTTTGCTGTAACTCCTTGAAATTTGTCTTGCTGAGTCGCCCAAAATGATGCGACGGTGCGTCATTTTGGGCGACTCAGCAAGACAAATTTCAATCGCCTGGCAGTCCATCAGGCCCCGGTGTCTTGCCTTCACCATCTGGGCATTCCCTCTGCCTTTATTCGGTGGGTAACCATGTTACACACTGACACCTCTACCAGAGTGTCTGTCAACAATTTAGCTGGCTCACCTCTCCCAGTACGTACGGGTGTCCGCCAGGGGTGTCCCTTAGCCCCCCTCTTATTTGTCTGTGTTATTGAGGTCATGCAGAGATACCTTCTAGCCTTTCTCCCTGGATATGCCTTCAATCAGTCCCAGCGAAGATTAACGGCCTGCTACGCCGACGATGTTTCATTGTTCTTGAATTCAGATTCGGAGCTCCGGACCACTACCCGTGCGTTACAAACCTTCGCAGCCATGTCAGGGGAATACCCCAACTGGGAGAAGTGTTCTCTCCTCCCCATTCACTTCCCCAACTCACAGATCACTCAGGCCGGTCAGATCCCCATTCGCGGCGCCGACGATGCGGAAAGAATCTTGGGAATCTACGTCGAGCAGAGCCACCCCGGCTCTACCACGTGGAACAACATTATCACTCGCATCCGCGGTGTCACTCAACCGCTGGCAAACTTTAAAGCCACTACCACCTGTCGTTCACTGCTATCCACGGAACGCCTCGCCTCCCTCTATGCCTTTGGCGCCCGATTTCAACCTCCCCCCAAATTGATCACCACCACACTAGACCGTGTGATCGGCATTTTTCTCTCCAATTCCAAGTACAAGCAAAACGGGCTTGCAACTAGGCTCATTCCCGAACGCCTTCTTTACAACAAAAAGAAACATGGCGGTGTCGGCGCCTTGAAACCCTCGGCTCACATCCGTGCTCTTACCATTCAACGTGCTGTCCGCAGGCTCCAAGCCACTCCCTATGAGGACGTTGCGCACTCCTGTGTGCCAGTCCCTTACGGTTTACACTGTTACCTCGCCCATCCCTCCATTCTCAAATTTTTGCCCCCTCAGGTCCCGGACAGGTTCAGGGCTGAACTGGACGCCGTTCTTCCCCTTCCCTCTGTTGTGAAGCCGCCCCGGATGGATCCTTGGTGTCTTATGGCGGAGCCCGTGGCGTTTAACAGATTCATCTATAAAGCGCCCGATGTCCCATTCGGACGTCTGAAGAATGAGACCTTCCTTCTCACCAACCAAGTTCGACTCGGACATCTCCTGGTCTCTTCCCGACTGGGTGCGCGGAGACTTGAAGAAGAGGAAATCTTCGAAAAATATCCCCCCTCAATCTTTCCTGGCAGCAGGACGCTCATCACCAACATCTACGACTCGATTCCGCTCAACTGGTGGGCGGCTCTCCGACGGTTCTCCCCAACCAAGACATACCTGGCGGTCGACGATTGGGTGCTCAAAACCAACGACACTCAGATGCCGACGAGGATATATCGAGTCACCATCATCCTTACCGACTTCACAGCCCGGGTCAGCATCTTCAGGGTCACTCAAGGGAGGCAGGTGGAAGCTGACAGCTGTGGCAGCTGCACGGTCTCCTTCAAGCACGTCATCCCTGTCCACGTCAAAGGAAGGTGGCTGGCTGGGCCTTTCGATTCTGGCCCTGCACTTGGGTTTCGTCATCAACTGTTCAACGGCTCACCTTCGCTAACAGAAATCAGGAATCTCCTTTATCGGCCCCTTCCTCTCAATCAACTGGAACGCTGGAACATCATCACCCGGGATCCTATTCCCTTCCTTCCGGATTTTCAACACTCATTCCTCAAAGATCAACCTTCTCGCCAACGAGATATCCTATATCGTCTCTTCACGCTCACGCTCCCGTCTGGATCAAGGTTCCTCTTCACAACGACCGGAGGGATTTGCCCTCGATGCGGCCCTCCGTCGATCGAAGACCTCCCCCACATGTTCTTTGACTGTGGGCACGCTCCTGCGGTAGGCGAAGCTATTCAACGTTCAGCGCTTCGTCACTTACAATCTCCTGTTGAGCCCGCGGCGGTCTTCTTCCCGCTCCACCACCAGTCTAGCCTCATTGCGCCATGGTGCCTCCTTATCGGCGCTGCAGCGACTATCCTTTGGAGAGACAGATGCTCCAGCCACTTCAATCAAACCACATACTCCCGCCTTGAGACCTTACACCGTATTCTCGCACTTTTCCTAGCGGCCTGCAAAATCTATTTCGCGCGACGCTCCAAATGGTCCGAGAAGAAGAAGAAAGTTACGCTCAACCGCGTCCGTGCAGCCTACACGCTTCGACTTTTGATTTTTTACGCGCACGGAATTCCACGGGCGCGGAAAAGGGTGAATCTCGCTACAAGGCGAAGGGATGGCGTCGAGGGAGAGTCGAATGAACACGTTGTTGCCACGGTGGCCGAACGCGTGGCACGTGATGATGAGCGAGGAAGGACGAGCTGGCAGGCCAAAAGTTCG